TAGTTTCCCATCCGGGTTCTTGAGTTGATCGGGTTCTCGACACCCCTTCCCTACCCGGTCTAGCGTCCGGTAGTTGTCCACTTCGCAACACCGCCGCTCGGAGCGGCCGCGGAAGAAGTGGCTGGTCGCCTCCGGGGGACAAGGGCCCTGGTTCCGCGGTTTTATTGGTGTTAATTTACCTGCCCGAATACTTTTAGCGAGCGGGAGAGAGAGTTGGGGCACCGAATCCAGTGGGCCTGAGACCCCGGCTTTTTCGGCCGGTTTTTTTGGGAGGGGGGGGGGGGGGGGGGGGTTCCAATGATGGGAGGGAATACCTAGGCATAGCTCCCCCTCTCCGTTTTAGGTCGATTTCCTTCTTGCGACATTTATATTCCCGTATCTGGGTCTCTTTATCTCTGTCCTTCTTTTTCGTCATCGTGTCAGCAGGTCCTGCTAAATGTGACCCTTTTCCCCTTTTCATTTTCAAAGTTCCGAGGACATCATGGCGTAGAGCAGACGGTATACATGTTACTCTCTGCTATTTGAGAAAGGCTTCGCTTGACCTTGGTAGCGTTTACAATGAATGCCTTCTCTTGTCACAATCTGATCGTCCAGCCCCCTTGAGTTACTGACAGAGCACGCCTGGCGTCAAGACTATACCAATGACCAACGTATGAAATCAAGAAGAAGAAGAAGGAAAAGCGGGCGACGGGATGCCAATGCCGCTGCCTTGTTTGCTTGCTCCTGTACTAAAGATTACGTAGGGGAGGCACTAGGAACTGCCCAGAAGAGTAGACGTTACTGCGTTAGTCGTATGCCAGATTTCTGCCTCTCGGCCCACCACTACACCATGATCTCTGCTCGAATGGAGTCAAGGCTCTGGAGAACCTGTCGAATCGATGGTCGATCATATGGGTTATCATCCCACGTCCCGTTCTGTTTCTTTGCCTCTCTGTCCGCCAGGTACTTCTCCGCCCAACCGACTTCTTTCTCCCACCACTCCCGCGCCACTTTGCTAAGCACGTCGGGGTTGGTGTCCACATTGGCTTCCAGGTCGGCGCGTAGTACGAGCTTGTTGCCGACGCGAAGTACTTGATTGTCGAGCGTCTCGCGACGGCCCTTGGTGCACTCGTCAATGAGCTGCCGTAGCCGTGGCGGCGTTCGCTGGTACTCAGGGAACTGTAGGTGAGACTCCCATCGGTAGGAGACCCAGATTGTTGCTTTTTGTGGCGCACTGACGCCCTCGAAGAGACACCAGAGTACTCTGCCGAGCATGTAGACCTCGGATGCCTCTTGTTCGCGGGGCGTCAGGGACTCCCAGGACACGTTATAGCTGCTGGTATAGTTGTCGTATTTCTCGTTTCGTGTCAGTGTTTCGTATTCGGGACAGATGCGCTCCATGATGTCACGGTAGGGCTGTTGCGCACTCGTCACATCAAAGGGGGGGTTTTCGGCTGTGGCAAGAATCCGCATGTACTCGATGGCATTGACTTCTGGCGATGCAAACTCACACCAAACACCGCGCTGCTCAAAGTCGACCATAATGGCATCTCTGGATTCAGACAGCACTATGTTGTCCAGTCGAAGGTCGGGATAGAATGTGCCCGAGGTTTCTCTGAAATGAAACACAGCTGAAGTGATTTGATATGCCCACTTGAACTGTTCTTCGATCGTCAGGGCGTTACTGGAACTGAGGAACGGCACAATATCACGCAATGTACCGTGCCGATGCAGCTCCAACGTGAAGCCGAGCACAGCGTTCTTTCCTCCGAACCTCGTCCGTTTTGTGACCAGGTGGACAGGACGAGACATGATGTTTGGGTGCGGTTCGGTGGTGAGTAGGATTCGTAACTCGTGGTACAGGTACTTTGGAAAGCTTGTCAGAGCCTTGAAGATATAAGACTGGCCGTCGATCCGCACGATAGATGTGCTGTCGTGTATTTGCTCAACAAGCTGCACCTGCGTAATGTGGACACAAGGCGGGAGTGTGACATCATGTCCCCAAGCAGCCTCGAATTGTCGCACAGAGAAATGGTAAACTTCCAGAGCAAAGGTTGGGACGACTGTAATGTCTATCTGTTTGATGTCCAGAGAGAGAGAATCGAAAACGATGCGGGAACCAAACGGGAGATGGCACAGGTACTTTTCTGCATACTCGAGTCGTTCGGAGTGAGTACGACGACGCGTTGGTCCGTCATCGTTGGTGAACTCCTGATCGGCTCCGCCGATAGTCATGGTCCAGTTCTGGAGTCGTCGGAGTATGTGCATCGATACCGCGAGTCGAGAAACTCTGACTCGATCTTTCATGTGGAAAGCCTGATCCAGCTCAAGTACGTCTCGGACGAGACGTGTCTGAAGGGACAGGTCGGGAACGAAGACGTCAATTCTCATGGGGGGCACAGACGCCATGAAAAGAGGCGTGGCATAGTATTGGGAACCCCATGATGTGCAGCCATCGATCCTCCAGTTAGGGGTGGCTAGAGGCGCGAGACTATCGATACGGTTCTTGGGGTTCAGTTGAGAGAGATCCCAGGCGATGTCTGCGGGGAGGGGCGAGAGGGCCTTCGACGTAGGCTGAGATGGCGGGACTGTGGTTCTCTTTAACACTGCCGTAGGGTGAATGACCGTATGTATGGTTTCAGGGTTCAGTTCCATGGTGGTTCAGTCGCTGCTTCTTCGACCCTCGCCGTGAGTCAAGCAAATCGGGAAGCCAAAAAAGCGAGGGAGGGGGGGGGGGAGTGGGAGGAGTGTGGCCGGTGCTGAAGCTGGCGGATGAGACAGCTTGCCACGCGCTCGATTGAGGAGTGTGGGAGTGGGTGGAAAGTCTTTCCATGTGGGCGGAGCTGATGAATCAAGCATGTTAGTTTCTTTTCTTCTCCCGCGGCGGCCAGGCCGACTGCACGTATTAGGTTGTTCCGACTGCAGAAGAATCGCGGCGCGGATGACGGCCAGCGATCCCCGGACTCGGTTGAGCCTTCTTCATCCGTCCTGCATCGACCCATGGCTCCTGTCACACAAGGCAGGAAAGATCGGCTATTCGTCCGTCCCCGTCCTGCCAACCTGTCAAATTGCTCACCTAGGGAAAGCCTCATGCAAGGCACTTGCCCACAGAGCAAGGAGACAACTAGGTACCTACCTACTTACGTATAGGTGTGTTGGGGGAATATGGGCGGTTAGACGAGCCTTCCAGCCTGCACAGTGAAGGAACCTCCATACTCTCGTGCTTTTTCTCGCAAGAGAGGGGATGGGGCAGGCTCCGAGGTGAGCATTTGTCCAGCTCAACAGGTGCCGTCGTGCAAGCACAGTTCACATGAGACATGAGACCATGGCCGCATTTGCACGGCATGGCACCGGAGCAAACACACCCTGCAGGACTTGGATGGTATCCAGATGCGCAGAGGGCAGGTGCTGGTTGGGTGATGCTTCAACGGCTGGCAGAAACAGCGCGCCCAGATTTCTTTGTTGGGTCGGGTTGATAATGCCCCGCATCATTCAAAATGCAGGCGAATCCCCGAGCCCCCAGTGATTGGCGCAGGGGCGTTGGTGACATTGGGAGCCACCAACAAGACGAACGCGTTGCCGATGCCGCTGTCCGAACGAGTGCGTCGTAGGCAATCAGGCGCTGAATGGCCCCGGCGATGAGGAGAAGTGCCGACTACCTACGACAGCTTGCGAAATGGTCGATCCAATCGGCGTCGCTCGATAGATACTCTTTCAAGTTGGTGTCCAGCATTGATTAATTGTCGACTTGATCGGGAGGTTCTCCCATAGGTTGATGAGACGCAAGTGGGAGAAAGGACGTTGGGAGTTCACGCAATGAGGTACGTTCCCTTCAAACGACCATACATGTAGCTTGCCGTGCTCTGATGATCACACATTGATAGGGACACAACCTACAGTACGGATGATGGCGAACTCGATGTCCCAACAGAGGGCGAGGATGGATGTCTTCACACTACGTGATGCCAAACGAAAAACGGGCGGCCATTGCTGACTCAGCCTCCGAGACTCATTCACAACAACGAGCAAGCTCGCGTGGCTGCCTGCCCTCTGGTCCAAGACGGACCCCACCAGCATCAATGTCACCACGGTGCGTTCCGCGGGCACGTTTTGTTGTCTGTCATCTCTCATCTTTCCAAGCATCGGCTGGCAGACGACCACCTTGCTGCGGCAAATCCTCCCGCTAACTTTCAACACTCAAGACACTGTCCCTATTTGTAGCCCTGGGACCCCCACTCTCTCGCCGATATGCGACCTGCAGGAGTCGAGCCATGCCGGGACATATTCGTACCTACCTTAACCTGGAGGTTCGACGTGGGGTCATGCCATTTGAACGGCACAGGACGAACATGAAATTGAGAGAGACCTTCCTTCGACGGCCGCACGCCACGCTGGCCTCAACTCTCAAGCCACTGGTGGCTACTAAGATCGACACGTCGTGGACCACACTGGCAACTCCGTGTTTCTGGAAACAACTGTCAGCAAACGAAGCCATGCTGAGTCTCTATCAGGGGGAGCTACACTCACACCTTGGTGCTGAATATGATGGCCCTGCTGCCCTGTCTGTCGTCCGCCCTCACCGATGTGCAGGGTTCACTGCACTGTGCACCCAGCCTAAGACTATGTCAGCCTACCTAGCCGGCCGGCCATCATTGAGACACAGGTCATCCCGGGGACCTCAGCATGTGGTCGTCTACTGGTCACTCCTGCGTGAGAAAAGCTACCGGCAGGGAGATGCGTCGACGGCAGCTTTCACGCGTGGAAATCTCGGTCAGACATCTAGCCTGCCCCCAGCTTTCGGTTGCGGCGCTGTTTGGGTCAGCAGGGGCACCGAAAGCTTTCGCTCTGCTGGGATCACGGTCCTTGAGAGGCCGTGCCCAGGCTAGCAAAGACATCTCGAGCCACTGATTGGGCAATTTCTGACCGACTGGAATCACACATATGCACCCACCTCGTGTGACCGGAAATGAGTCCTGACAGGCATTATGAACAGCATCCAACGAGCATCAGGTTGCTTACACAGCGCCAGATCTCTCTAAACCCAAAATGAGATAAAATCAACTCCGAATTTATTTCTAGGCACAGTTCCTTTCTTCCGAACCATGAGCCATTCGAACCGAGAGAGCGAGCATCTAGCTGATGAGCCCTCAAGCAAAGGCTATCGATTCGCGTCCGTTCCGACCAGCTGCTTGTCAGAACGGGCGTGGCCCTGCAACACAGAGGCGGCCTGTCACAATGATTACCATCTCATGCGATCCCACCGATCTCATTGCTGCTCCGCCGCAACTCAATACCGCGTCATCGTGGCAACCATAGATGAGATCAGTGCAGCTATTATGGGAGATGAATGTGAGAGCACACGCCCAGGTTGTCGCTCTGCTTGGCGAAGACGACGTATTATCTTTATCCATCACCTCGTTCCAAGCCCTGGTCCGTGTGGCCAACCAGTTCTCGGGATTAACACCAGCCCTGGGCTAGTGAGGGGGCCTGCTGACCGAGAACTATCCCTTGCATCTCACCGTGGTTGATACTGGCCAACCACGAGTACAGCCAGCAAACTTGCCCTTGCCACAGGGTTCAAATCAGACGAGAATCTCGCATTTGCCCATCTGCAATTGCTCTAGACCTCCCATAGCTTCGGTCTACTGGTCCAGTCGGACAATCCAGCAGGAAGGGCATCGACCTGCTGTAGTGTCACTCTAACAACTACCAGTCAACCCCCAGATGCTTGTTCACTAACGTTAC